GCTGGCATTTTAATAGTAATTTTTATCTAGGACGGCGTTGAAAGAGGGGAAAAGAGGGTCTAAGCCAGTTTTCAGTGTGTCCAGTGATTACAGTCCAGGGTCTGGAAGTCTATAAGTAATAATCAACTTTTGCGGAGAGCAGCGGAAAAGGTTTCTTATGACAGTTCCTTGCGGATAGCTCTGGCGCAAGAAAAACAAACAGAAAACTTCAATTACAGGGCTCGAAAATGGATGGAAAATTGAAAGCCGGATTGAAAGGGAAAGTGAAGCCATCTCTATAAATGAGAACTTTCATTTCAGGCCGACGAAAGAAAGGTCTTCATACAGAGGCAGAAATATATCAAGCTATCCTAAGTCAGTAAAAGTTTTGATGGATTTATATTAATCCGAGTATCATAGAACATAAAATTGATAGGCGTATATACGGGGGTGCCCACAGATCAATGGGATTTTTAAAGTACTTTTAAATATATTTTTTAAGGTACCTAAAAGTATGCAACGCTATATTTTAAACCTAGAAGTACAATGAATTCATTTGGTAAGATGGCTATCCCTATTCCCTGCATACTTTTAGAGTCCTAAAATAATGTTGTTATTTCGAAAACCTAGTGATTCGTAATAAATTTTGAGAACGCTCGCTCCAACCCTTTTTCTATGTGTATGGAAGTAATTGGTCGTTAGTTGAATAAATATTGCTCCCAAAGTTCTTACACAACAGGGCTTAGAAGGACTTCAATTCCATTCCGCCATACAAATCCCTTGCAATGGAATTCCATGGCATGCCAGGATTACTAACCCAAAGGATTTCCAATCTGTTTCTCTGCCATCCCCCTTTCCTATTCTTATCCCGGATAACAGAAAGCCTTTGACATGGCCAGCATGTCCAAATGCTGAAACATTAACTCAACTAAAGAACTTCATTATGGAGCCTGGTGCTAATAAATCTTTTTAGTCGTTCTACCTTTTGACTCCTGCAGGCAACAATGAATCATAATGAGTGCTCGACGCTGGCCAAACGCCCGGGAATACAAAGAGGCCCTTGGAAATCAACATTTAGGCCCCGCTGTACAAACACAAGAAACCAAACCAACAAAGTTCTGGCCAAGAAAGCTAAGCTGCGGCCAAGTCGTAACATTATGGCGTGACGGCAAAGTAAGCAATAAGGCGTAGCATAAATTAGCCGAATAAACAGAAATGAAACAAAGGGCCCAAACAACTTTAATGTTTGTTAAGCAAATATTATCCCCGGGCTGTGGGGACTCTCCGGAGGTGGAAGGGGTCCTATTAGAAGCTGCCCCTCCGGTTATGTTAGACACGTATTTGCCGCTGTTGCCAAACCCCAAACAACAATGAAACGTCTTTATGTGACGATTATCTGAACATAACCCGGCCAAATGCGCAATTAACTGTGACATCCCACGTCGGTGGGCGGATAGTCCTTTACTCCCGAATATGACCCACTGAAACATATGACCACAGATTTAAGCCAAGATCTCAGATGGAACGGAATCCAACGTTCTGGGTTCATTTCGAAAAGAGTTTGTCTATGTGGGAGGCGGTAAATATAATTTGAGGAGGCTTTAGGATGATATGGTTACAGAAATAAATCCCCCAGGGTTTTTGTGGTATGCAATACTTTACATTTATTTATATATTATCCTCATGTTCATACATTGGTATTTAACAAACTGCATTTGTATTTATTTAGGTATGAAAAAATAGTGTTTACTTATTTCCACAAAAATCCATAGATAAATGCAAATAAATATGAAAAGAAAGCAAATACAAAATAGTATGTAATCCAATATTATGCAATTTTTGTGCATATTAATCAGAGCAAGTTTATGTTTCAAATGAGATACCCTAACCGAAAAATGGGCTTGGAAATTTCCTATCCAATATCATGCAATCATATAACGTTGACCAATGAATCGAAAACACATTAAACACTGTGAGCAGCACACAATAAAATCGCAAAAAGCAAACCAATTTAACGACACACCATCTCTCAATTATTCCTAATTTATTGGCATTTTATAAACAGCATATGGACCGATTGCCATATATCTTTGCCAGCCCCAAAACCAAGTCCAAACCCAATGGAACCCATCGAAACGCCCACACAGATGGAGATGGTAATGCGCTTAGAGAGAAGCCAACAACCGGCAGAGTCATGTCCATGCATATAGGGTCCCCTGAGAGGCTTATGCCCCGGCCCCCTTTCGCTCCGATCCCCCAAAAATATCGGGTATTTCTCCCCATTTCAATGGGGCAAAAAGGTAAATATGATGTGAGGCGCTTATTGAATCGAATTTGTTGACTAGCGTTTTTGTAGAGCCCTCTTCCCCACCGCAAAAACCTTCAAATCTGTCACAGCTGCTGTCACCCACTGCAATTCGAAATTTTATTTTTTCCCCGGTGGTTACGTGTAGTTATGCAACATTTTTCGTGCCTAGAAGGACGTTGCGTGTGTCCCGAAATCAATCATACGCCGATATCGACACAAACAATAGGGCAAACAGAGCCAAACAAAAAACAACACCGAAACAAAGCCCAAAGTAATGCGATATTTTTTATTGATTTTCATTGTGTCGTTCTTGTGGGAAGGGGTGCCGGCGGTTCTGCCTGGGGCGCCGATATGAAAAGTACTTGATGTTTGCAATATGCGGGCCCACTTGACTCCTAGCCAATGCCTTTCAAATGCAAAATGCAAAAAGCTTTTAAGCTCGGTTCCATAACAAAATGTCTTTAAAAGGATCATAATTGGATAGCAGGATAAGCTTAAGAGGGTGTACCATGACAAATATATAGCCTTGACAGTATTTTAGCACCAATAAAAAGTTGATTTCCTTTTGTTTTTAGATTACATTAAAAAGTGTTATATTATAAAAGGATAAACTTCAGAGGGTGTACCATTACAGATATAGTGCATTGACAGTATTTTAGCTTCAAATAAAAGTTGATTTCTTTATGATTTCAGATTAAATTTAATTTAACAAGTGTTATAAAATGGGTATATATGGGGGGATAAACTTATGAGGGTGTACCATGACAAATATATTGCATTGAATGTAGTTGAGCCAATTAAAAGTTGATTTCCTTTTATTTTAAGATTAAATTTAATTTAACAAGTGTTATATTATAAAATTTATTTTAAATATTTTGCAAATCAATTTTTTGTGGAGAAATATATGTATATTAAAAAAAGATGAAATAACCACTGCAACATTGAAAAATAAATACTGGTAACAAAATTCGTAAAACAGGATCAATTTTTTTTTTTAATCTTTTATTGTTCATTAATTGATATAATTATAATTAGCAGCACCTACACAATCCACGTTTGACAGAGAGCATTTAATAAATCATTTCCTATTCCACCCATTAGCAGTTTTGGTCGAATTCTTTCTGATTCTATATATTCTAGAAAAAATCAAAGTTGTACAAATATTAAATTATAAAACAACAATATTATTAATAGTAATTCAAAATTGTTTCCTATTGGGATTTTGTATTCCTCACCATTTTCACAAGTAAACAATCAGTTTACAATGCCTTGAAGGGCGTTCAAAGGGCCCGTTTTCTTGTTGCATTGTTCTGGTATTGTTATTTGGCCAGCAATTCTTCTGCTGGCCTATTTTCTTAGCTTTTTTGACTTTTATGTGTGCCTATGCTTGTGTGCCACTGGTTTCACATTTGTTACTGATATTTTACGACACCGTAAACATTTTACAATGCGAGTTCCGTTTCCATGGGATGAGTTCTAGTTGGTACACTTCTGGCAGGGGGATGTTATCCATTCAATATGCTCAGCAGAGCGTTACATGTTCTATAGCGCTATGTCCTTGCGAGTCCTTGCCCCCAACGCCCCTCGGAATGTGCGAATATGAGTGTGTTTACACGCAGTGAAATGCGGGCGAAAGTGAAATGCTCTCTTCTTTTTTGAGGTCAATTAAAATGTGTTGGATTTTGTACACTTCGCGCCGCACTATCAATCATGTTCTCTTCTCTCCCGTCACTGATCTGTAATTAGTTAAGCAGTAACTAATTGAAAACATCTTAGAGATTTGTTTGGCGGTGATTAAGTAAGTTTTCGCACTGCCCATCAAGTGATATCTGTCAAAAACTGACAATTCCGTGGCGCGTATTTCCTTTTCCCATCATTAATTACCCAAACGCTCACCGAAACGCTTGAGTTTCCCATGTTTTGGCTGTCAGTTGATTGGACAAGTGAGGGCGAATCACTCGCGAGTCTGGCGAACACGAAAAGCATTTGCTGGAAATGTTGAAAAACTTTGCCAGATAGAGCACCGCAACTTAAGTGCTATTGTAGTGGAACTGAGGGGGAAAATTCATGAAAATCGATAGTCAGATGATGGAGAAGATGGCTTTAAAGTGGTTATGTTATCTGGCCTGGAAGCAGATGGATGATTTGAGGGAAGCCCGCCAACAAAAGGCTTAAAGGCCTTCAGCTTGTGGTGCTCAATTCCTTGAACTTAAACTTTAATTTGGAGCTGTGCTTAAAGGTGTAAAAATACATTGATATATTTTTATTTTTCCTAATAAATTTATCGAAGCTGATGCCACCCAATGATCATATTTATTTTTAATTAGTAGTGGAGCATGTAATTTTAAGCTGACAAATTTTTTTGCTTCATGATTTTCCACAAATTGTTTTTCAGTTCAGTGGGTTTTGGCCAGATCTTGCACAAAACTACGCTTTTTGCATGCATTTTTTGGCCAGAACCGAGCCAAAGTCCGTTGTGTGCAATCATGAGATATTTACACTGCCACACACAGCCAAGTCGAACAAATTGTCGCAATAAAATGCACAAATAAAATAAATGCTCAATATTGAATGGCGTATGGAAAATGTTTAACTATTGATTGGTTTTGGGGAAAAGCGAGCAAATAGCTGTGCCGCATACCAAAACAGCACTCAAACACTCAATTTATGCGAATGACTTTTAAAGCCTTCCATTTATCTCGTATTTTTTCAGGCGCACTATTTTTTAATGGAAGTCCCCGGAACGAGGATAATAACCAGCCCGAGGGAAGCAGCCTCATCGGCGACCTGATCCCGCGATGTCCGCGTAATGAAAGCGAAACTTAAAAAGTTGTCCTGCCGTCGCTGAGCGGAAAAAAGCCTGGGAAAAAGCCAAAAATAATACAAACAGGCAACTGAAAATGAAGTCCGTCATTTTGTATCCATATGGACCGCTAACCGGCGGCACACGTTGCTGTCGCATGTTGCATGCCAAAAATTTGGCCATAACAAGTGCAATTTACACAATAGTAAGTGTTTGAGGGGATGGGCTGCCGCAGGGGGCGTATACGCAATGTGACAAGTATGTAATTTGGTTCTCGTTAGTTGCAAATGTCAGGTATGAAAAGAAAAAGCCGCGAATAAAAACAGGGGCACGAAATCAGTAGTTGCAGCTGGTATTATATTCGCCTGTTAATTGTGGCATTATTATTATGAAGGGCTGGGAATATTCCCATGACCAGCGAGGGGTGTTTGGTAGGCTTACGATGCTTAAAAAAATGCTATTGGCTCTAGAACAAATATTTAAAGCCACAGCATTCCGTATACAAATTCAGTTTAAATAAAGCAATAAAACATTACAAGTTTGTATTAACATTTCTTAAACAATCCCACTCGATATATAAGTTCTAGGTGCTTAAACACATTATTTATTTTTATTGCTAGTAAAATAAAAAATATTTTTCATTTTAGGGATACATTCCTTAATATAACTTAAAAAATGTAATACCATACCACAATCTTCCATAGTTCGTAGCTCTTTTTGAATCGTAGGTAATATAATTTAAATATGGTACACCGATAATCTTCCCGACTTCGGTCTTAACCAACCTCCTGGGTGGAAAATAAAAAATATCCCTGCCCCAGAGAACTTACCAAATGGATAGACCAAACTAGCACTCGTTCCTCGCATCTTTCGACTTGTGGCATGTATAAATTACAATTACATGATGCTCGTTATGGCTTTTAATTTATGTTAATGGGCAAATCGTGCTTGGGGCTTTCCACATTATTTGGTACACTTCTTGTAAGGACAATGGAGCGCCGGAGACAATTACAAGAAATATAATGCAATGCAACTTGGCGGCAAACAATAGACATATTATACCCCTTGCAATGCCAGTTACCAACTCGTGGCGAGTAAATTAGTTTTTGTTTAAGGAGAGAACTTAAGTGTTTGGCTTCTGCAATTAGTGCTGCATTTTATGGCAGTTACGAGCACAACCTCGGACGTAACAAGAGAGACTTCCCCCTGAGCCCCACTTCCTGGCCAAGTAAGCGTTACGTGTTTAGCATAAGTCGGGGTTAAGGGCTCGGAGGGGGCTTCCTGCGGGGGGAGAGTTACTACGGGGAGTGCAGTCACGACACATAATGGATGTATCTTAAGAGCACGCCATTTCGCATTTGTTTATCATAGTCGTTGCTGGTATACTAAACCTGCCTTGCCCCAGGGATTATCGGTTTTGCAAACTGGATTCCCACCTTAAAAGTACTTTTGTAGATTCATTAAGTCAAAGTAACAGGTAGTTAACTTCTAAATTTATGTTAAAGTAGATTTTCATTTCGTCTTATATTTTTCATGATGTTTCGAAAGTACTGTACCTTATTCTATTAGAAATCTTATAAATATCTTGTCTTCTTAACTTGTTTACCTTAGAATCTAAAACATTTAAATATTCCAAACTGTAGAGGTTTCATGTTAATCTGCAACATCCTTTAATGTCTTTCCCTATATTAAAAAAAGTTGAGTTGCATAATGTCCCATTAAATGGGAATCAAATTTCAGGAACTTATTACCTTACAGTCGAGAGACATCCGACACGGAAACATTTTCACGGATTAATTAGCGTAAACCCGAGCCAACACCTCAGCCCCTAAAATCAAATTGGGTTCAGACCCGTTTAAAAGTAAAAACGTGTTGAGCAAAAACAGCGAAAAGAGTTGGGCTAAAAAGGGGAAAAGTGGGGGAGGAGAAACATGAGGGCGATTTTGATGACCCATGAACCATTTTATATGCGGGTGCTCACTGCATATGCGTGCCATGTTCGCCACACACATTTCCCATTTCTCCGGTGACTCATTCTGTATTTTGTCTTTTAGAATATATCTCTCCTAATCGTACTGATATACTCGTGGCGCATTAATGTCAACATGCACAAGTCGGCCGATCTGCAGGATGTCTACTACGGTAAGTTCAGAGTTCGCCTGGTAATTAAGCACACAGAAGCTGGTTCGAGCCAAAACCCAAAGCGGCTATAAACCCGAATACTGAAACAACAAGCAGCCACATAATAAATAAAGCCACTTTAATAAATAAATTAAATGTAGATGAGAACGGAGGCACATTACCCACCAAGGAATACAATTCGGTGCTGTATCTGCAATATGAATGCAACATAATATATGTATACTCCAATATGAAATATGAGAGCGACACTTAATTTTTGATTAATGGGATCAAACTTTAAGTGGTGATATTTCATTCTTGTGTTCGCAAAGCGTTAAATTGATAATGGGTATTTGATTAATTGGTTTCAATTTCAATAAATAATTTTACAAGCTATAAACTAGTTTTCAAAAGCGTTTACTCGATAAATTTACAAATCTTGTTTTGGCTCTTATAAATCTTTGCAAACTATCGCGTTAATCAGTTTCTTTTTATTGAACTACGTCTTAATCTTGGCTTATATTTATTCATTACAGGTGTTCAAATAGCATACTTCGCCATTATCGGCACACAAATGTCCATGATATTGCTGAGCATTGTGTTAATATTTGGAATATGTCGGGTGAGTTCTCTTGTTTGATTAAAGGCTTTGAGCATTTTACAATACTAAGCGCATTGTTGGCCACCCCGCCCAAACACAAAACACAAACCCCCCACAAATCGAACGACTCAAAGTCAAATATCCGCAAATTATGCGCATTGTGCCTGGCCTGAGCGCCGGGAAATGTTTACCAAACAGAGCAAACAAAGCACATTCAAATGTAAATTACGCAAAGCGCTCATACCGCCTGGTTGCCTCCTCAGAATTCTAATATGATTTTTTGGAGTGCGAAATGTTACACGTGGGGCGCCCAAATGTACACTACACAAATTGGGAATATCTTGATAAAGAGTGTGTTTTTTGTCGATTAATAAACAGCATCCAACATTAAATCTTTTAGGAATTAATATTATTTTAATAGGTAAGCCCCTTTCCAAGTTATTTGTCCTTGGAATTTGACTACAAAGTTAACCAACAAATTTAGTTAGTCGAAACAATTATGATCTTTAAAGTTAAGATAAGAAATGATTTTTTAGTACGGAAAGAGGTGAATATTTGTGTTATTTAAATATAATATTTACTTTAATATACAGAACTGAATATTTAAAACCCTGTGCATGTGCGAGCGTCTGTAGAATTCCTAGTAGGACCCCGACCGCCCCAGAAAAACCCAGCAATGCTATTGACAGCGGCACGAAAATGTGGACAATTTGTCACACAATTGCCGCGGGGCTGACTCAACTGGAACCGAGCTGCCAGGACCCTTGACGGGGATAGGGATTGCATAGCCCGAATTCAGCTCGGGTTTTGTTGCTGAGCAATTGCCAGCTACATTTTGCGGAATTTTTTAATTTTCCCTCTGACAGCCAAAAAAGAAGCGAGATTTCCAGACAAAACGAGTGCCATGCCCTGCCGAAGGGAAATGAAAATGTTACCAAGTCCGCTTAATGGTCAAATTAATTGCACTTCGCTAATAGGCGTCCCATTCTTAGTCACTCGAGCTGAGAGCCCGCAGCTGATGGCCATTAAATAATGCATAGAGCATTGGTTCTTAATTAGGCTAAACGAGTATTTGGACAACAAATGCGAGGGGAAACAAGCAAAAGTTGCGGCCGAAATTGAGGTTGATGGCTATATAATAGATAAACATTTCATTGTTTTCCTTACAAGCTCTATTGGGGTGGGTTCAAATCACACACATTAAAGCCTGCATTTGAGCTCTCCAAATAATAGACATACAAATTGTGTATTGAAATGCGAGCTTAAACAAAAGATTTAGAATGCCATTATTTGACAGCTATTTGATATTTCTAAAGTCCTTTTATTAATGTGGAATTGCTGTGTAGATTAACTGACAAGAAGATAAGATATATAATATTACACTTAATTACATTAGGGCAATTAAAATTACAAGCATTGGTTTCATACCTTTAAATTTATTTTTCAAATTTAAATGAAAATGGCTGCAGTTGGAGGTAAATAGTATTATTTTAAATGCTTTAGCTGAACTTGTATTCAAACAATTTTATACACCCCAGGAAACCCAATAAATGAACCCCTTCTCAAACCAGCTCCTTGAAAACTTAAAGCTTCCAATAACCTTGACCATTGAATTCGCTGAAAATAGTTCGTCATTGAATAAATTCACTCTCCACGTAAATAAAATGTTCGTTATGGGATTACATAGATTTTCATAAATTAGGCAAGCTTGCAGTCAATATTAAAATGTAATCCGCTGACAAAATACATTTTCTATGGCCCACAAAATTGCGATGCAAAACGTTGTGGCCAAAAACTGTCAGCTGCACATCAGAATTCCCAACGTGCTCAGCAAAAATTTGTAGCACATGAAAAAGCCCCAAAAAATCCAATCAGGGGTTTTACCGCCGTGGCGAGATAAATTGCACCGCACTCACGCTTTTTAACACCCACATCCGAGCCATATTTTATAGTATAGCCATGAAATCAATAGCTTCAGTTCTATCCAGGTACTGGTTTTGTGGCCCCTCTTCAACCACTTTATTTCCTAATGGCAATATATTGATGGTTCTTGTTTTTCGCGTTTCCATAGGAGAACCCCGGACTAATTGTACCCTGGATAATTGGCTATATAACATTTATGGCCCTGGAAGCTGTCGCCATGGTCTACTCCAATGTTCTGCGCGATCATGTAAATAAGGTGAGTGTTCCGTCGGATTCCCGGGGGCGCTGCGAGATGTTTTCCATGCATATTGAGGATGTTTTCATTCCGACCTGCTGTGGGAACCATTTGTCTAATGAAAAACATCTCGCACAAAGGACCCTGTCCCATCGGGGGTCCTGCTCCTCGTTGCATAAGCAGACTATCAATTGCGCCGCCGCTCGGCGCCTGGCATAAATCAATGGGCATCAACGGCAAGGCAAACAAATAAATTACACAAGGCCTTCAGCGACAACAAATCAAACCGAATCCGCTACATATGTAAAAAGTTGGTGGCTTCCTTTATGCTAAAATGCCAGAATCAAACAAAAGCAAAGACCTACTGGCTGTGGCTTATGGTCGGAAGTTGGCGACAGTTGAATGCATTGCCGGCAAGAACGTTGAATGAAGTTGGCAGGCGAGTGTAAACACACTCCCATGTGCAACAGGCCCTGAATTGAAAAGGGGCAAAGGGAAACCGGAAACGGAAAAGGTCTCGTGGCGGAGTTGAATAGACAACAAGCCACAGATGTTCGATCTAGGGCAATAGAGACCACGAATGGTTTATCAAAAGTTTGAGTTACTTTGGGGGTGCCTCTTAGTCTGTGAATAATAAACAAAACTATATATTTAAATAAAAACATTGATGTAAATTTATGTTCAATAAGCTAAATGGGTATAGTCATGTGCTCAGCTCTCTGTTCTAATATTAACAATTATAATTATATAATTAGAAATTGATAATTTGTTATTTAATTTATATATTTAAACTGCTAGACTTTTTTAATAATTTGTTCAGATACACTTTCTTTTTCCTTTTTTCGGTTTTAACAGTGTTATGTTTAAAAGAATGTCATACCTTTTTGTTGGTCCTGGTCACCCTGTGGATTTAGTGTGGCCATGCCGTTGTCTTGTTGACTATCGAACTTATATCCCCATCTCTAATTTCGCATAATGCGAAAACTATGAAATGTATAAATTATTAAATAGGATTTTTATAATTACTTTATATGTCTACTTAGATAATATCCTTTTAAATAAATTTCAAAATATATAATTTTAGTTTACCCGTTTTCGTCCTTTATTTTTCTCCACTGACTAACTCATTTTTAACGTCCTGCCGAAGTGCCTTTCTGCAACAAATGAAGCGCACACAACCCCTCTAAAAAATAGAAAAACAGGGGATACAAAAAACCCCCTCGCATAAAAATTCAGAGTCAAACAGACGAACAAGGGCCCTCTACACACTCGCACTTAAAACAAGCGACAAAGTCAAAGCGCCACAAAGGGCGGTGGAAAGGGGGCGTGTCGGGGAAGCCGGGGAGGGGTCGGAAAACTCAAAGACCAGCCGCACCCAAACGCAGATACAAACGTATCTAGGTCTATACAGGCACGAGGATCTATTCCGTCTGCACATATGCAATGAGTTGGGCATTTTTCTGCACCATTTTCCCTTAGTATTTTACATTTGTCTGTGTCGCACGGCATTTGTTTTTGCTGTTCGGCTTTTTCTATTACGAACGTGTTCTGCTTTCCTACGGTTCTCGTTTCGTTTGTTTTTCCGCCTAGCCGGGGGACACGGAAAGTTTTTTCTCCCGGAAAATTGTCACCTCATGCATAATTTATTGCAATCCAGAAGGTAAAAATTCATTTTTCTCTGTTTTGGCATAGCAAAGTTTTGCGTTATGGTCTGGGTTTTTACTAATTTGTTGTTTGAGGTTTTTTGTAGAATTTTCCAATCATTGCCCAGGACTTTTATGTTTTTCATTTGCGATTATGGAATATGCGCTAGACACATATTTCAGAAATTATTTTAAGCTTACCCTTAAAACTCGTATATTTTCAAACAATTAAAAGTACCTTAAAGTGGTTTGCCACTTACGGCTTCCTCTGAAATTTGAGATTTAATTTATGGCGCCAGCTAAACCGCTTGAATTAATTTAATTCGCTTCTGTTCTAAGTCAAACTTTCCATTTTCACGCTAGAAACTTTTACTTCGCCCTTGCAAATTGCTTTCCAAAGCAGAAGGCAGCCAACTATTTTCGCAACTATATTTTCAGTTGTTTGTTTGGCTTTTGCGGGCCAACTACTCGTGAAAAAATTAGAAACAATTCATAATTAATTTAAATAAACCTTTTATTTTCAGCAATTTGATGCCATGTGCAAAGCCGAGGTGGCTTTCTTTGTTGCTCGAGCCCTAATAAACGTAAGTTGGATAAATATTATTGAAATACTAAAAGCTATGGGAGTGTATACATAGTATAATTCAACGAAAATAGCGCCTTCAGTTTTCACATTGGTATGCCATTAAAATAGTTTAGTAAAGGGTGTATGTATCGCGAACAGAGCATCAGCTTTTCTGGAGTATCCTGCTTTAGGGCTATGGTAAACGCCCTCTTGGACTGATAGACAAGCCATATGTTCACCACATACACGGTCAGATAGATTGTGGTCCGAGTTCGGTTACCTTTCATACTCCCCAGCAGGGATTTCATAAACGACGCTACCAGATGCCAAGCGAGTGTCATCAATTGGACCCACAGCCATGGTGCCATGTGACGTGGTGACACCTAGGAAAATTTAAAAAATTACTTAGAACCAGCAAATGAAAATGGTGTATAGGTATACCCAAGTGGTATCTTAAAGATCCACAAAGTAATAACTATTAGCAAACAATTTTTATCAAATATTCTGCTGGCTTGAAAACCTTCTATGTAAATATATGCACTTACAAACAAAGCAGCATACAACAAAGTAGCCCAGATATTCGCTAGTATAAAAGCGGTTAGAACGCTGAATCTTCTGACCATTTTCGGAGGAAACACGTGGAATCTATTATTGTGCCACATAGAATTCCCAAACGTCTCCTTGGTGAAGAGTAACCGCGAGAATCGAAAGAGACTTTGTATCTGTGGGAGGTTCAATAGATTAGCTCAAGTTGCGATTGTGATTTTTTCAAAACCCACCACTCCATAAATACTGAATATTAGGACAAACCAATAATATATGTGATAAGTGTTTATGTCGCACTCTAGGAAATTCTCCACGTTGCGCCTGAAACTTCTCCATGGTCTAGAGTCCACAAAGCTAAAGAACTTTGTTTTGTCCCTGCAGGCGTCCGCTATTACATCATAAGAACTTCCTAGGGCGCACAGGTGATATTTAAATGGTATAAATTTGAACATCAAGTAACGCGATTGAAAAGCAGTTCGTAAATACAAATACTACAAACCAAACTGTTCCTTACACGAAATTTAAGAAATATTTTAAGTTGACACAAGTTGAATATAGAAACAAAGCAGGGGTGACACCAAAATTGGCACTTATATATCTTTCGAACGGCTTACGCGTCAGTCAATAACAATGGAGGCTAATTGGCTGTGCGCACATCCCACACAAGGCTTAATCAATACAAGTAATAAATAATTTAATTACTAGCTAAGTCCATTAGTCCATTTACGCAGCATAAAAATGTTATCTCATGGATTTCTAGGAAAAAGGTTGAGTGTGTGCGAGTGTATCTGCGGGGTGGGATTTTATCTAATGGATATTTATGGTACTCAATTTTTTGCATTCCTATTGGAACAGGTGCTGGCCATGTGGGGAGTGCTGCGCTTCTACAACCTGGTGCGTTCTGGAATTACTTGGCGAGGACCTGAGGTAAGTCAATTAATCAACACCCAATGATAGAGGTTGCCAAGAGACTTATGATTTATTTAGCCAATGCTGGTCAAGGAATTTACATGTCTTCTGTAACTGTGATTATAATCTGAAACAGAACCAAATACCCATATATATTTTGGTTGGGACTTATTTTGGGGAATATGTAACTCCTTATAAATAACCCCAAAGCTTTTCACTATCTATTTTATTTTCTGTGCATGTGCCCTGCGCCATAATTATTTAAGAGCTTACGTCCTTTAAGCCTAATTTTTGTCTCAGAGAATTCCTTTGCCATCACTGGCCATTATAGATATTTATTTTCTTCTGGTAATTAACTTATATTACTAATTAATATGAGTATTAATCACGTTAATCACCTGTACTAATTCCCGAACCCAAATCGTTTGATATCCTCTTATTTCCTTAGGCCAAGACCGCAATTTTCGCGCCGATGTATAAGAGTGTTAGTACGAACAAGCCGCACACATACACGTACAGCAAGCGGTCAAGACGTCGCCATAGCATCGAGGCGACTTCCGGCGGATGCTGCGCCATCTTCGATTTCGACTTTGAGTACGACGATGATAACGATGACGACGACGACGATGCCTATGGCGATGGCCTGGACACGGAGGATGAGGTGGGCTATGACTATGACGACTACTACGATTACTACGACGATGACGAGTTGGCGGAGCAGCAGCAGTTGGGCCTGCAGCAGGACGATGCGGACTGCAGCATGTTGGGGGCGGCCAGGGCAGGCAGATCGCGGTCCAAGCCTCGATCCGCTGTGGTCAAGGTCAAGGGTCAGAGGAGCGGAAGCCGGCGCACCAACAACAACATCCGCAGCGTGCTGATCAACAAGCGGCACAACAAGTACAAAATCGCCCGACCCCAAACGCAACTGGAGGTCATCAACGAGTCGGAGAAGAGTGCGGGGAGCGGCAGCGATGAGAACGATTCGCTTTTGGTGGCCTATGACAGCAGTTCGTCGATGGCGTCGGTTTGACATTGGCCGCCATGCAAATCGGGAACCGGAAATGGAAATGCAGCCATTGGGGCAGAGGGAAGTGATAGGTCCAGTGGTACAAACGACCGGGGAAAGTGCCATAATCACAGCGACTGCGACTGCGACAGCGCCAGCAACTGCAACATCAGAACCGGAAGCGGAAGTGAGACCGACGACGACGGCGATCCTGACGAGGGCCAGCATCTGGAACCTGGGTGGCCGAAGGGCGTCCGCCTCCGTGGTCAATGTTGTGGTCAGCGTCAGCGCCGACGTCCACTGCGACGCGTCTACTGCGCTGTAAATCTGTCCATAATGGGCCTCCTGGTGGCCGTGGAGATATACGCCCAGATCGCCATATTCCTGTAGACCAGAAACCCCTCTTTGAAATGTTGGCCACATAACAAGATTTGTTCTAAAGATAAAAAGATAAATATAAAAAAGTACCCTTTAAATGCCAGATAGATTACAGCTTTAAATGTAAATAACTTAGACAAAAATATTATTAAACAAAAAACTTTAGCTAATGCTTTAACAACGCTGAATAAAAATAACTCATATCGCAACATTAATACTTTTATGAAATTATGGGTTGCATTATCTGGTTTATTCTATTTATATATTCTTTTACCATGAATTTAAATAAAGTCCTAAAAGATTTCTGAACAATCTATTAAACGTAGATAATTTTCAGTCAACTCGCTTTGAAAAAAATAATTTTCAAATCACCAATGCAAAACTCTTACTGTAAATACGTCAAATAAAGGTCAAAGTTAGCAAAATGTCAGTAATAGTAAGAACAATAGTAGCAGTAACTCTAAATGTTTAAACATATTAAAAGTAAATTTCATATCCAAAAAGATAAAAAATCCATAGCATATTAAAGACCTCTCCAAGAGATAAATGAAACAATTTTCTGTTAATAAGGATAAAGTAGTCTCCAGAATTAAGTTAACAGACAAAAGCCACTTTATTGCAAAGCCCAAACAAAAGCTTTAAAATAATTAAATTAAATAAATCGCATGTCTATCCAAATAAAATAAAAATAAACAGCCCGAGCAAAAGTCAGAGAAACAATAAAAACAAGATTTGACAGAAACGTTAAACGATTAAAATGTTTGTGAAGTGCTTAGGAAATTACTTTGTAAATACTTCCAGCTATCTCAAGTTGATGTCAGTGACGTACAAGAAAATAAGCGAAATTAAACCATATCTATAAATGTTGTATATATAGTAAGTGATATTAAGTACAGTTGCGCCAAAACACACTAGAAGCCAGTTTAAAACTAACCAATAAATGTGAGTTGATGTATACCTTACGATAAACCAATAATAAACACTTGATATTTGTGAAAGAAGACCGACATCCATTATTGAGCGAAAACCAAACGTGCTGGGCACGTGAAAGAGGTTGAAGCTCCAGCCGGATCACAAGTATTTAATTTGTCCCCACTCTCGGGAATCAGTCTAATCACAGGCGCCAAAACTAATTAAATGATAATGCCAGCGGTGGGAATGAAGCAGCCAAATCTGGGGACACGTGAAGCAATCAAAGCATCAACAAGTGCCGATATCAGCCCGCAAACACGACCGCAATCAGGGGAATCTAATCAATCATCGGTCGGCCAGTTGGCTTAAAAGCACCCGGTCTTCCCGGGGCCGCATCAGTTGCGAAACATGAAGGGTCTAGTGTTAATTGCCTTGAGTGGCCTCTTCTTGGCCAGTGGCCAGGCCAGGATCCTGCCGAAGGAGGATCTCCCCTGGGAGTTGCCTGCGATTCCGGAAGTGGTGAACGAGATTGAACCCAGAGAAGGTGAGTCAGAAATGAGAGGATCCTAAAGGAGCTGCGTTAAAACTAGTCTTACATTTTTTCAACTGTTTACGCAATAATACTTTACCAAGCTTATGAAGTAGAACTTATTTCATCCATAGAACTACAAATAAGTATTAGTGGAATTTGTGTATTTTTTAATATAAATTCATTTTTATTTTCTTCTAATACTCTCTAAAAATATTTTAGATTGCCAAAAATAAACCAACGCATATAATTTATTAATTTTATCTCTTAAAAATCGTTAATATTAATGTTCAATTAAATTGTGGTGAGATATTTGCTAAACATAACTTGAAGTTATGGTGAACTTGAGCTCATGATTGGTTATATTTCTATGGCACAACGATCTTCGAATTTCAACGTTTATGTAATATCATTTAGTTGACAAACTTCCTATTCATTACAAGCTAAGTTTCATACCAACCCAATAATTTTTAACCAAAAACACCTCCCCATTTTAGCTGGATGTTCCATTAAGATCCGTAGCTCCGAGCTGAAGGATCCCCAGCCTCTGCTGATCAAGTCGGGTACGTCGGAAATAGTTGGCTTCTCGGACAGTGGCAATGTGGATGTGGATAAGGACAAGACCATAGAGTTCCACTGCACCAGCAGCCTGGCTTCTCCTCTGTCCGGGAAGTCTGTGACCGCCAAGTGTGTGGGTGGCACCACCTTCAAGATCGACGATAAGGAGCACGACCTGTCCGCCATCAAGTGCACATCCTGGCCAGCTTTTGTGGGCAAGAAGTCGGGTTCCAGCTGCAATGGGGGCACCACTCTGATCAAGGTGGGCTTTGAACTGTCCGGTTCCCGGTTCGCCACGCAATATGAGGTGTGCTTCAACGAGGACGAGGAGGTGACCAGGTATGTCTACCATCGCCTGGAGCCGGGAAACAACTACTATGCCACCGGGGTGGATCGAATTACCTTCGGTGCTGGCGGTTACTTTGCGGGCAAGAACGTGGACAAGCTGTACACGCAGGCGGTGCAGAAGGAGACCATCGACAAGGAGTTGGACATGGACTCAGCCCACTACTTCAACTCGGCGAAGAACATCTTCCTGGCCCGCGGGCACATGGGTGCCAAGGCTGATTTCGTGTTTGCCCCGGAGCAGAGGGCCACCTTCCTGTTCATCAACGCCGCTCCCCAGTGGCAGACCTTCAATGCCGGCAACTGGGCCCGCGTGGAAGATGGAGTTCGAGCCTGGGTGGCCAAGGAAAAGAAGCACGTGGAGTGCTGGACGGGAGTCTGGGGAGTTACCACTTTGGCCAACAAAAATGGAGAGCAGAGGCAGCTGTACCTGTCGCACGATAACAATGGCAACGGTCTGATCCCAGTGCCCAAACTCTACTTCCGAGTGGTTATCGAACCCTCGTCGAGGAAGGGCATCGTTCTGATCGGCGTGAACAACCCCCATTTGAGCCTGGAGGAGATCAAGCGAGACTATATCCTCTGCACGGATGTCAGCGACAAGATCGACTGGATCAGCTGGAAGAAGACGGACCTCACCGCTGGTTACTCCTACGCCTGCGAGGTCGCAGAGTTCCGCAAGAAGGTGGATCACCTCCCCGAATTCTCAGTCAGTGGCTTGTTGGTCTAACTCTCTAACGGACTTAATAAAAACTTTATATTATACTGTATTTGTTTTAGTTCTAGGACTGGGAATAGGAAAACAAATGTATTTTGCAATAGTACCATTTTAAGATTATGTTAACTTTTTACTTTTAACAAATTCTAAAGATAGAATCAAAGTAAAAAACACCCAATCAAACCTTGACTCGTAACATCAAATTTAGTATTAATTTAGTAATAACAAATTTTCTTTCTCACTTTTTTCAAAAAGTTTTTCTAATTATACCAAATATTGGCAAAGAATGTACTCTCCAACCTATAATATGTATTTATTCATATTTTGCAAGTGTTAGCTGTCAAATTATTTAAAATTTCTCTAATGTTACTAGTGAAACACAATGTATCAAGGAAATTGTGTAGTTTCCTACTGTTTCTGATGCTGCTCCTGCCGTCCTACGAAGCTGGTGGTCCAATCGGGAGTCACTTTATCCGTCGGCGGGCAAAACGCCTATCAAGTCCCTACTTCGAAGAAGAGAAAACTCTGGTGCTGGCGAAATATGTGGTCTCCATTCGGTCTCGAACGCCCCGAAAGTTTTTTGGCGACAATCACTTTTGCGGTGGGGTCATAATTTCGAGAACCTACATCATGACTTCCGCCCACTGCGCCATGGAGTAGGTATAGAAAAGTTGTATATTCGTTTGCATCCTCCTAACTTTGTAACCTATGCAACAGCAAGCGCAAGGTCATACATCGGAGTCGGGTTTTGCTCATTGTGGCTGGAACCGCGAATCGTCTGAAGTACCGGGATGGTCTCACTGTGCACATTCCAGTGCAGAAGATCTTTGTACCGGAGCAATTCACGGTGTTCAACACGAACAACCTTGCGCTGATGATGCTGGCCAAGAAACTGCCCTTGGACAATCCGCGCGTGGGTGTGATCAGTCTGCCCACGACTGACCCCGAATCGGGTGTTAACTACACGGTTCTGGGCTGGGGGAGGGTCTATAAAGTGAGTTGCAGTTCTGAAATGTAACGAGACCAATATCAAATGCTTCTAGGGCGGTCCCATGGCCTCCAACATCCTGCACATTGACGTGGAGCTGTTGCCCCGGGAGATCTGTGAGAAGAAACTTCACACCTTCAAGGAGGAGATGATGTGCGCGGGAAACCTAAACAACAGCCTGGACGAGAACCCCTGTGCCGGGGACACCGGGAGTCCCCTAATCCTCAACAGAACTGTTTTTGGGGTGGTGACTTATCGAATTGGATGCGGATCCAAAACCTTGCCCTCGGTTTACACCAACGTCTATGTCCACATGAACTGGATCAATGATATCATGGCCAAAAACGAAGGGAACCGCATGGAATATACTCTAAATTGTCTACTAACCACCATTGGCGTACTCATTGGAAATAAAATTCTGAAAAGTTGTGGATTTTATTAGGTCACCATTTAAACGAGCAGACCTCCCTTGGCGGTCAAGGCGGGCAGGTGCTTAACGGTCTTCAGGAAGTCGGCGACCTCACAGGCATAGGACCAACCGGCCTTAATGTCCGTGGTCTTCCAATTGATGTAGGTCACCTGGTCGCTGACGTCCGTGCAGATGATGTAGTCGCGCTTGATCTGCTCCTCGGTGAGATGGGGATTGTTGACGCCCACGAAGACAATACCCTTGTGGGAAGTGGGATCGATGACCACTCGGAAGTACAGCTTGGGCACTGGGATCAGGCCGTTGTTGTTGGCATCCTTGGCCAGATACAGCGGGGTCTCCACCCCCTGCTTGTTGGGCAGAGTCGTCACACCGTAGACTCCAGTGTAGCAGTTCACATTCAACTTGTTCTTGGACACCCAGGCCCTCAGACCGTCCTCCACGCGGGCCCAGTTTCCGGCATTGAAGGTCTGCCACTGGGGAGCGGCGTTGATGAACAGGAAGGTGGCCCTCTGCTCGGGAGCGTAATCGAAGTCAGCCTTGGCGCCCAGGTGACCACGGGCCAGGAAGACGTTGGTGGCTGTGTCGAAGTACTGGGCCGCATCGCCGCCCAGGTCATTGTTGATCGTCTCCAGCTGCGTGGCCTGGGTGTACAGCTTGTCCACGTTCTTGCCGTCGAAAAAGCCGGCCGTCTGGAAGGTTATCCTGGCCACTCCGGTCTCGTAGTAGTTGCTGCCGGGCTCCAGCTTGTGGCGAGTGTAACGGGTCACCTCCTCCTCCTCATTGAAGCAAACCTGCATCTGCTCGGCGAACCTCGAGGAGTCGATCTCGAAGCCCACGCGGATCACAATACCGCCGTTGCAGGTGGCCCCCGACTTGATGGCCTTGAATCCCGGCCAGGCCTTGCAGTACAGGTCCTTGAACTCGAATTGAGATCCGTCCACGCTGAAGGTGGTTCCACTCACACAGCTGGCGGTGAGCAGATTCTGGGAGTGGGTGTTGAAGCCGGAGGGACACCACAGCTGGAGGGAGCCGCCGGACTCGAAGTCCATCACTCCGACATCGGAGAAGGGATAGAAGTCCTCGGAGTCGGTTTTCAGGTAGATGGGCTGCGGACTGGGAAGGCCTCCGCGAATGGTCACACTGCAGGCTATAAGAAATGATTCATTTATTATTTTCAGGCTATATAAATGTTTTAATTGAATTTTAAATGTTCTCTACAATCGTTTTCTTGAACAGATTTTTCGGCTTTAAACCTATCGGGATGAAAACTTCCCAAAAGTCTTATTTATATTGCAGGTAGTATTTAAGTCGGAGCGAGACGGATCGGACAACTATAGTTATATATATCATAAGCTCCCATAGGATGATCAAAAAAAATTTTATTGTACTAAAATTATAACTTTGGTGTGTTTTTAAATATTAATTTTTACACTTGTGAATATTCTTTTATAATTTCAGAACTTTGTTTTTTCGGTAAAAAACATACGGTAGTAAATTTATATTAATAATAGTAATAAT